AAATTTTTTTTTTTTTTTTTTTTTTTTTTTTTTTATATAATTAAGCGAAACGTTCAACGTACACCGGATAGTATTTAATAATAGTTAATAATAATAATAATGTTATAATAAAAACTTAACGAAAATCCATCATAACATCAAAAAAGGTATACGTGATATTCGATAGGTACACACTTATTGTAACTGTATAAATTATGCCTATTACTTATATTATATTATTATATTAGATAATATTACGCTACTAAAACGTATTTTTCGTATGATATTATAATAATTATTATATATTGATCGTACGATCATTGTAATATATAATCATCGTTATAATATATGTATACACATATGCTATATATATATATATATATATTCTACGTACATATGCGTATGCATATGCGTATTGTTTCAATGTGGATTGCCGATACAAATACATATATAATGTCCTTAATCTATAATTATTATTATCGTTATCGTTATATCTATATAATGTATAATATTGTTATAAACTATCGATAATGATCGATGATCGTCGCGCGTTTACACATCATAATGTACGAGTAAAAATTTTTGGAAGAAATTCACATTAATATATTATACGATAATTATACAACGTAATAGGCTTATAGACGTAAGGAGGTCGACGCATAAATGTACCGATAATTGTTATGATGTTACATTATAACGAAAATATTCATTCCGGAATTCCGATACCTAATTGCATAAGATTACATGCAAGGTACCTAACTAAAACAGTAATCAAAACGATAGCCGGAAGCGAACGATTTTTATTGTTCGTTGTTTCGTCTGACGCCTACAATATAAAATAGTTCGACGTCGATTGGGACGACGGAATTGATTTTTTTTTTTTTTTTTTTTATGCATAACATATTGCGGGCCGCAGTGGGAAAAAGGGACGAGTGGTTGGCGGTAGAATGGCGGGGGGATGGGGGAGGCATCGAGTTGAGCAGTTCAAATATCCGTATAATAATTTATATTATATCAGCTATACGCGCGCGCGACACACTGTATATTATATAACATTATTATATTATTATTAATTTATTATAATATAAATATAGTTGAGAATCGCCCGCCCCTTGAGCTTATTAGATTAATTATTAGTATTATTATTATTTTTATTGTTATCATTACCTAAATTATATTGTATTATAATAATATTAATAATTTGAGAGACGTAAACGAGTGCGTTTTATCAAATATTCATTACATTTATTATATACCTATATATTATTATTATTATTATTATTATCGTAAAGAAGAAACAAAACAAAAAAAAAAAAAATCTGCAGACTGCGCAGCCAACAAAGCACGACGAGCATTATAAACAATACAATATAAGCACAGCTATAATAATATAATATGTACACATTATATTATACAGTTTAAGTGCGATAAACCGTCATTTACAATAATTATTAACCTATAAACGGTATAATATAATATATTATGTATAATATGGTGTCAAAAGAACTATTGAGCACGATGAAATTTCACAGCATGTCCCGCGAGACGACAGAAACGGTAATGTTATGAAAAAAAAATAAAACAAAATACAATGCACTTTTAAACACAACAATTTTTCAGGATATGCGAACGTAAAAAAGTAAATTTATAACGAATATATTGCCTATCGTTTTCAAGTATATAGGTACCTATTAACTGTACCTATGCGACTATATTATCATAATGATTATTAATGATTAAACCGATCACAGACTCGAGTGTACCGCCAATGATTCTATAGTATAATACGTAGTTAGTGGCGTGCGCAGCAGTTATATTCCCCGGCCCCATTCAACAACTATGAGTGTATTTATTTATTTAGTGATTCGGTCTTGAAACGCGGAATACCTGCGGTATATTATATTTCAGCCGAGTTACAACGAATAAGGAAGAGCCTGATTTACTATGATTAAACATTGGTTTTTTTGTTTTTTTTTTATATATATAATGCCAAAGTCGAGTTGGGTATACAGAAGACGATTTTGACAATCTCTTCGTGATAATTATTTGCTACGTCCCATTGGAGATCCCGGGACGCGCCACTGAACTAACGGAATATAATACTATAAAATCAACGGCGTAATTATTACTTTATTCTTATAATCTAACGTTATTCCAGTCGAAAAAATAAATAATAATAATAGTATTTCCGGTATCTATTATATTACGCAGGTACCTATTTTCAATAATAATATTGTTCAATCGAGTTTTTCACGTGTCAACCGTGATGCTCAATCGTTATCAGACGCGCCGAACGCATTACGAGGTGCGGTAGAAACAACGCACCAATATAGCGATTCAAATCATAGACCGTTTGGACACCGAAAATAATGGGTCGTGGTATGTTTGGGTGCAAACAATTACTATAAAACCATGAAATATTTGGCAATTAGATTTTTATACAAATTTAAAATGACACCAGGATTCAGGATTCTAGAGACATTTTAGAATGTCGGAAAAGTAATAAATTGTAATAGTTATTAAAACACTTTTAGATTGCATATGGAAACATATTATAGATGTAGGGTGGTGGATTACGGGCCTTTACAACGGATTTGAAATCTATACACAAATATAGTAATCGTTAATATAAATATCATCCCTAAGTAAATATTAAGTGAAAGTAAAACGAGGTTGAAAAAGTTATTGAAAATATTTTAACATTTTGGTGCCCGATCAACACCGCCATTGTTGATAATAACGAAATCGGCATGACCAAACGGATTGTGTTTGTGAAGACTATTGCGCGTAAACATTTCGGTGCCCAAACGTCTTGCCCCACGCTATAGATTGAAATTAACGCTTGATGGTGTACAAAAATCTAAAAAATAATAATTATAATAAAAAAATATTTTTTTTTCTTTTTTAACAGACGCTCAAGGCCGGATGAAGTGTCTGGCAGGCGTCACACAATGGGACGGAATGGAACCTAGCTCGCCAAAAACCGTTAATGGATAGATTGTGTGATCAAATATTGATAGACTCCGAAAAAAAAAAAACCACAGATATTTATTATATTCAATATATAACCTAATAATTAATTAATTATAATAATAATTTGTAATTCCGAACATAAAATCATCATTCCAAGTTGAATTTCGCAATTTTTTAAAATGTATTTTTCACACTAACATAAATCATACGTACAGAATAATCACGGGAGGAGCTTGAGAAACGTTTTTCTGTTATCGCACCTAAACTCAAAGCACGGAAATTGCGGCGATTAGCGTGAAAATTCACGCTAATCACATATTAAATATTGGCATAAAAACATTTGCGAATGCGAAGAAAGGGGGCTGAAAGAAGAGAAGGGCAGCTTTCAAGTTTGCGGATTTGAAATGTTGAAATAAAAAATAATTTCAACATTTCTCGACGACCAAGTTAAAAATTCCTATGTATTTAAAAGAAAGTGGTACGGATAAGTTGGCCCCAAGTACGAAACTGAAGGTATTTAGAATAATTTTTACAGCAATAATTTAAATTTACATTATCATTAAAATATAATAAACATCTATATTGTATACTTTATAATTATAATGTCCGAGAAGTCGTTGTTTTATATTTTCAATCGGTAAATTATATTTGACGAGTTAAAAGTCGTTCCATCCCATCATGTGCCGCAGCCAAACTCGGAAACCTCGAAAACGTCTTTTTTTTATATATATATATATAAATTGTGTGTAAATTTTTGTACTACAAAATCGATTACGAACGTTATTTTATTTATATAGGTAAATTACGACGGCACGGCGGGCCTTAAATAAACACGTCTGTGGGCCCGGGGAACGTGCCCCCCTCTTAAGGGGCCTCGTCACTAACGTTCGTTTTCTCTGTCTCCGTCACGACCGTAATATAGCAACAAAGGCGATTCGCTGATTGAATTTGGGCCAAACTTTGGGCTATATTGTACACATTTTACAAAGAAAATTGATTACCGTAAATACGCAGATCCTACGAACGGTTTGTTAAATAATTTTCGTATTTTTTGTCCACACACGCGTGTTCGATTTTCTCTTAATTTTAAAACATTCATAATACTATTAATACGAAAATATGTAAACAAAGAGACCCTTTAGGATACGTATTACAGTAAAATTGTCGTATCCGTAAAACGTGTCTTTGCCTGCAGAATGCCTTTGCCGCTGTGTGTGCGCGCAAACACGCAGACGGAGACAACGGAATGCTAGGGACGGGGGCTTGCGAACGCAACAATATTATAATAATATTTTGAAGTCGGGTCTAAAGCGGTGTACATGCTATTATTATAATGTACCTATATAACATTATCGTATGACTTTTTTTTTATTTTTTTTTTTTATCTAAAAACAAAACCTAAAATTATATAACAAAATATCATACGTCGTCGTATAATATGTCATTGGGGCTTGCCTTAATGTTATCGTCATCTGTCCACGAACTCCGGCCTTTTGAACATTATCGAAACATATCGTCGATATAGGTAATAATAATTATTATGGAATTATTAAACGTACCTATATATATTTATTAATACTGTTTTAATACTGTAATTATTTAGCCCTATACACCATTAAATTGTGTAAATATAAACTTTAATCGAACTGTTTAGGTAAAAAATATTTAATAATAATGATAATTAAAAAAAAAAAAAAAAAACGCCGCGACGACTAGTTTTCAGTAGCAACGGGACGTTTTTACCGTTATTATTATTATTTTTAAATCCTATTTTTCTGAAAGACTGATGTACACGCGTTTCACGCCGAAAATCAAAATATGTTATCATTTATAACAATAGTGGTTTACAGGTGCACGGCGGAAACACGCGACAAACGGAAATTCTAATATTATACAAGACGTATGTGTAGTGTGTGTGTGTGTGTGTTTGTGTGTGTGTGCATATATAATAATATATCAGTAGGTATATATCATAATTTTTTTTGGCATAATAATATAGGATTTTTAAGTTTAATATATTGAGCAATTGATTCCGTTAAATTTGTTTTGACCACCTCCGTCCTCCCCCTCCCACCCCTCCGAGCATAATATATAATAATATAATACGTATAGATCGAGCACTCTGCACTGAAAACTAGCCGGACGAGAATTTATACGATACGGTACTTATAATAATATTATGTCGACGTCAAAATAATAATGCACATAGACGACCGATATTGCTGGCATAATATTAATACATAATAATATTGGTATTACTCGTGGGCGACCTACCTCGAGATAACAATAATATTACGCCGGACCTGACGTGAACGATTTTCGCGGGCCCGTAAACTAACCACCAGATGGAGCCGGTGCGCGCGACGGGACCCGGCGCCGACACGCCGCCGATCGATATGGTAAACAATACGCTGATATTTTCATTTTTTTTTTTCACCGTACCTACGGCTACTACGACAGCGGTTTAAAGCGAGACTTTTTGAATTTCGTATTGCGCGCGAAAATGCCCGCGGCATATTACGTGAAGTGTACCGGTGGCGCTAAAAATGTTTGTTACAGAATTGGATTCTATGGAAATTTACATTGTAATTAGAGGTACAGGAGCATCGTTTTCAGAGCTAAACGAAGTACTAACGGACGAATTTTGGTTATTCTAGTGTCGAGTGTTCTGTATTGTATTTATTCTTGGGGAGAATCGCAAGGAAATCGAGACGATCGGGATGGGAAAATGCGACCCAGTTGAGTGCAAAAGCCGAAAAAGATAGGCGTATACCGACCGATTACATTGTGCAGCGAAAGATTTCGAGTGGATGGAAAGGGGCGAGAGAATGGGTATACTGTAAAAAACAAGGAGCAAAACGAGACGGCTGTGCGGATACGAAAATATACGGGACGGAAAATTGCGTAACGGCAACGAGATTTCCGGAGAAAAGGCGACGGATCGGCGGCGTGTTATCGTATTATGTGTGCGGCGTGCGAAAAAGTTTCGCGGACCTCGTCATTATCGGATGGTTTCGAAAAAAGAAAAAAAAAAACCGTTCGACGTTTCTGGAAAATTAATTACGATACATGCCCGTCGGCGGCGTTGTGTATACGTGACTCGAAAAGGAAAAATACATAATAATATAACAAATACGTATTATATAATAATATAGATAACGTTATCATTATCTCGGGGCATACCGTCCGGATCGGCGGCGGCGGCGGCGGCGGCGGATCGCCACGCCCGAGTGGCGACAGTGGCGACACCGTATCGCGCACACGCGCCCCCAATGGCCCGGGTGCGCGATCCGGTCGGGATTCGATCGAAACGTCATACGGTTTGAAAACGTTTTCCCCGTCGAAAAACATAGGCGTATTATCGGAAGTACTCGCGGTCTCCCGTCAATATTAAACAACTTTATTGTGTACACAATGAAATGGGAGGAGAAAAACAATGTTCGTTGAAACGTTGAGCTATTATTATATAGGTATACTCTTAAATATTATATTCTACGGTCGACCGGTAAAAACCGTTCGAACAACGCGTGAAATTTCGATCGCTCGACCTTTTCGACCTGCGCATACGATCACATGACCATTCGATCAAATGACCCGCACATCACGCATACCAAACACTACTACAGTGATAATTGAGCTTATGTTTTGGGGAAGTAGTTTTTGAGTTGCGGGCGGGCGGGGCGGCGGCGGCGGCGGCGGCGACGACGGCGTTAGGAACATGACGGGCGGCGGGTGTACGGGTGTTCTATTACGGAGGACTCCGGTGGTGGTGCGGGCGTTGGTGGCCGCCGCGGTCGTAGCGGTCGGGGCTGCCGCGAACGACGCGCAACGGACGTCACACGCTGTCCACGCTGGCGAACCGTTCGCCCAGTTCGTCGCACACGTGTTGGCCGGATGACGACGGTGTGGGGCTGAGCGACCGGAGTGACGGCGTTCGGGGATCGTGATGTTGGTGCGGATGGTGGTGCTGATGGTGCCGGCGGTGACGATTGTATCCGCCGCCGACGATGCCCACGCCGCCGATTCCGCCGCCGCCAACACCGCGGCGGAACCTTTCGCGGCGGCCCGGTCCCGACCGCCGCCGACGGCAGCACAGGCACGCGACCAACATGAGCGCCAGCATCGTGCACATGGTTAGCACCGCTGACAGTACCACGTTGTCCATGGCCTCTGGTTCCACCGCACCTGCCGAATAGCAAACACGACAGTGTAACAGTAGTAGCAGATTTGCTAAAGCATTTACACAGTATTATGTTTTTCTCGAGGTGCTTAAAATATGGGGAACGATATTAAACAATTTCCAGAACGATAATATAAGGACGATTTTATTACCATTTGTATGTTTTATTATAATTTTGTGCTTTTTTTTGAACTATCGGAGGTACTTTTACATTTTTTTTTTTTTTTAACGAATTGTCTAATTTTTTTCCGCAAAATTTCCGATTTTTAACGGAATATTACACAGTATACACATAGGTAGAGCATAATGTTTATGCAATTATTTTAAATGATACCTAAATATAAAATCCCATTATAAATTATCACCGCCAACCCACCGCTATATTATTGTCGTAATAATAATACAGGGTCTTTCAATGTTACTATCAATATTTCACGGTGAAATATAATTTTTTTTTTTTAATTGACCTTTATGGCAAAACAACTTTTATGGATTAAACATACATATATATTATATAATATGCGTATTGTAAAATTTTACTTTGCCTTTATTGCTTTTTTTTACCCCCAAATTTAAAGGCGTTTCGTGAAATTGATTTTCTCGTGAAAAGTTGTTCAGTCGTTGATTAAAACCACGATTGTTGTATAGTAGGCTATACAACAATGCGATTAGTAAAATTAGTGAATCATACAATATTTCATTAATCCGTTTTAAAGTTGAGATTAATTTACGTAAAAATCAGTATTTAGATAAAATCAGTTAACACACATTATATTAGGTATATCACATTAATCGTCGTGTTTTAATTAAATATTTATTTTCGTTATTACTTGCCAGTTTCGTGGTGTTAGTATTAAATACCAAAAATAATGGTAAACTATAAATGATAATAACAGACTTTGTAACGAAATAACAAAAACTTACTTTAAATTGTACAGCTTCAGATACGGATGTATTATTTATATTATTAGTGAAAGTATTAGCGAGTAGTGGAATTTTTGAAGACAGACATTGTAAATAAGTAACACCGTAATAAAAAGTAACGTTCAAATTTAAAATAGTCAAAACAGTATTGCTACAAAGTTATACTAAACAAAATGTATGATTATGTTCTAACATGAAAAGAGATAACAGCCCGAAATTTGACCGATCATTGTTTAACATACTTCGGATGGTTAATTAACTTAACAGACCTAATAGGTTTCGGACCAATTCGATTGCCCCAACTTCATTAGTATAATCAATGATTAAAAAGTTAACAGGCACTTCAAAACAGGATAAAGGTCTTAATATACCTTTATCCTGATCAATTATTAAATTGATTATGATTTAACCACTGTTTAATCGTATAACAGGCCCTAATCCTAATATTCCTAATGATCCTAATGCTGCTATAATGAATCGAACTATATGATAATAATTAACACCATAATATAATAGTTGTGTGAGGCAATGGATAAGCGAATTCGAGTGACCACATTTCACGTTAGAAGTGACGCTAAAAGTGAAATCATTTTTATTTCGTGAAGTGTGTGAAAATCCGTGTCCTTTTCGTCGTGAAAGAATTGATTTCACAATGTGGCTACGACATAATACACGTAAGTATATATTATGTCAGAGGTGGCCAAACGGTCGATCGCAGACGATTTAACCGTCGATCTCCATGTTTTTAGAATTTGCTAATCATTTTTACCTAAATATATTATTATTTTTATTTTGTTGTACATTTATCAAATAATACAGTTCAACAGAGTTTATCCCGACAATTGCATTTACAATAATATTATTGGTAGTAATAATAGCACGATGAAAAACATTATTTAACTATACATTTCAAATAATAAAATAATAAAGTAAAAACGAAATTATTAAAATGGTTAATGCTCGTAAATAAATATATACATTTTTTATTTATATATTTATTAACTATACATTTTAGTTTTATTATTTTGTAAGTGTGTGTTTATTATTAATACTAGTTAGATATTAAGTAATTTATAATTATACATTTTTGCTAGGAAGTCGATCCTCAAAAAAAAAATATATTTTTTTGTAGATTTTTAACAAAATAAAGTTCGGCCACTCCTGTATAACACATCATACCGAATTGTCTCTAATTTTGTGAAATTTTGAAATTCGTTTTTACATTTGAATTAACGATAAGACTTTTCTATACTAGTCTACCTTCTGATATTCAAATGATAAGGGATTCTTACGGACGAATAAAACGTTTTAGACCGAAAAGCCGAACAGAAACCGTAGGGGTTACGTTTGACGGATTATATTTTTAAAAACAAAATATTATTCTTTCGGTTCTTTACTAGGACCTCGGCCGTAGTTGGACCAAATTGTCGGAAGGTGTTTTGAATTTAACCGTCTATTAATGTTGTTACAATCATAATTAGCATTCATCTTGAAAACAATAAACAATCATTTAAAAATATACCGGGGGGGTTGAATTCCTCCCCCCTTAAATACGACCTTGGCTAGGATACGTTGGAATTATTTTTTGGGTTTTAATTGTCTTAATTAATCATATATATTCTTATATAAAAGGCAAAACACTTTTAGTACGTTTTTGGAAATTGTTCAAAAACACAATACAATTTGTTTACGATTTCCAATACAATAATTGCATGTACATTTCTGTCATAATATCCTATAGTAATGAACATAAAGAATTATAAACCGTTTTCAAAATTGATATCCGTCAAACACAATCCTCGCAGTTTTGACTCGCTTTTAAGTTTTGGGTCTAAATCGACTAAAATATTACGCCGTCACTAATCTCCAAAAAAATCGATCGTTAGAGCTGTCTATACTTAAACTGACTATCTCTTATCAATTTAACGGCGATAGGTTTTATAGCGGCCGGTTACTCGAATAATAATAATAATAATATTATTATGACCGAAGCGATATCGTAACGTTAATGCGATTATTATAACGACATTTTTTTTCCCTTCGCCCGTACATCGTTATGAAATGTCGCGCGCGGTCGAAATATTTGATAATAAAAATTCTCTTTTTCCTTACAATAAAACCTATACATCGATCCGTTTTGCCGTTTTATTTTCGGCAACTATAATATAATATTATACACACGTATAATATACGTATATAATGAAATTGTTTTACGATCGCGAGCCCCGAGAAAACGCACGGCTGACTTCGACCTCCACACCTCGTCCGCGCGAGAACGCCTTATACAGGGTGATCAATACAACGTAAGACTTGCGTTTCGTGGGCGGGACCATTACCCACTTTTGATTTTCAATCGGCCACTTACGTCGGACGTTTCGCGAATTGGCAAAGTTTTAGTTTAGATACATTTCGATGTTGACATTTTTCAATTTCCGTCAACCCGCTGATGAGATATTCCATTTTTAGGTTTGGCCGTTTTGTGGGCAGGAGGAGGGCGGTGAAGCGCTGTTCAAACGCCGCGCCGCCACGCGAATGATGATCGATCCACTGCTCTCTGTTTATCCGCAAAACGATAAACTTAAAACGGGAACAACGCGTCTACACCAAAATGCATACTCTAACCGTTTTATTACAGACTTCTTTGTCTGTTTACGGAATTTTGATCATTGGTCGCCGTTTGAAAAAAACAAAATATGGTACTCGTTGCGGTTCCGTTCCCGTACAATTTTATAAAGAAATCGCTCCGTAGAAAGGAAAAAAAAAAAAAAACGTTTCGCCATCAGTGTACACCACTCTGTATGCTATATTGGCATCTACTTTATGTTGTATTATAAGGCGACCGAGTATAGGCAATTTGTATTCGGTTCGTATATTGCACGCGACTGCGACGGGACTTCGACGTGAGCTGCGCGTATATTATTATAAGCCCCAGCGGTCGTCGAGAGGACGTGTGCGGCGGTCGGGTCGGTCGTAAAACTACTCGGATGATTTACGATTTTTAGATAGTTCCTCGACTATTATTATATTATTATTATTGTTATATTTATATAGTACGACATACGTCCGCCGACAAACGTGCGCCAGATATCTTGTAACGTTTTCGGTAAACGCCAACCAATAAAATATACGAGTTATCGTGCATATTATTGTATGACATATATATTTAATGTCTATGCATATTGTACAGTGTCTATGCACGGGGTTTGACGATTTCCAATGTAAATTAATGATTGTATAGGAAATAATTGTCAAATCCTGCGGACACACCATGCAAATATACACAATTCAGATAGATACTTATTTTTAAAGAAATAAATGCACATAGTTTTGATCGGACACACGAGGTAAATAAACAAAGATTTTAGCGGAGAAACCGTTTTGCGATTAAATCATTCGGGTTTGAACAACTTTAAATATTATCAGTTATTAGAACAATTTTTACGACAAAATTTAACTAATTGCATTGTGCAAGTTTTCCTTTTTTATGACGAAAATTCCGTTTTTTAATTTCAAGTCTACAGCTCGAGTATTGTTTTCGACTGTGCAAAACAGTTTTTACAGTCAGTAGCACCGACTCTTAAAAGGACACAGGCATTTGCAGTCTGTGCCCATTAATTTATAAAAATGTATTGACGTAAAACAACCGAAAAGGCATATAAAACCGGTGTAAGAGCGAGGACATGTTCTTTTACAACAATTTTTAAATGGCAATATTTGGAGAACCACCTCACGGATGTTTTACAACATTTATCTCAAGTATCCAATTTACTGTTGAAGGCATAAATAATCATTTTTCAATTATGCAGATATTTCTTTGCTATACAGTTAAAAAAAAAAAAAAACTGCCAATGCGGTTGTCTTCGAAATGTCATAAACACATTTTAAAACCGGCGTTTTATCTATAAAACCGATTTTAAAGGCGTTTCCTTTTTGTTTTACGTGAACATATGTTTGCTGTTTTTGCCCTCCCGTTAGATATATACAGAGACGAGAAATGTGGCGTCCTCTTAACACAATGCGGATTAAATTAATTTATCATTACGTTCGAAACGCGCATTTTATTACAAAGAATTTTTTTAGTACCGCATTACAATGAAAAAAACGAAAATGTATTCAAATTAAACGTCTTGTTTTTTCGCGTACAATTTGTTTTTTTCGTCGAGTACCTATATAATAATTTAACGTGTTTAACGATCGATACAATTTTATTTTATAGTAAATAACATAATACGAAATGATCGACTGGGACGTTATATAATATGATATTATTATGTACAGCCCCTGAAACGTACGCGGAAAACATCGTTAAATGTACATTAGATTGCCTGATGAGTTTGGCGATTTTCGGCGGTAAAAAGAAAAAAAGAAATCTAACGACCCCGACGCCATTATATAATATTATGTATGAGATAGATAATATAACATTTTTTTTTTTTTTCTTCTTCCCAACACAGAATAGGTATTATGCTTACCGATCGTAACCCCGTATTTTCCCGTTTTCAATACATCGTCAGCTTCCTATACAATATATAGTAGCCTTCCCTACCTACGTACACCCAGTATAATATTGATAGTATTATTATTATTATTATTATTATCATCATATAATATGAGAATAACGTGCGTTTAATTTAACCAATACTCACAGTTGCTCTCGTCCGATATGTCGTTGGATCCGCAATTCATCATGCTATTGCATCTCAACTGTTCGGATATGCAGTAAGTCGAATTTTTGCATTGAAACCCCGTACAGGGGGCGTTCATTGAATCCATCACTTCGGTCCAAATCGCATTGAACCCGGTACCGTTGCCCGATTTGTCGGCCACCACGAAGCTGAAATGTTAAAAAAAAACGTACAATTAATATATTTACCGATTTCAAGAAATCCACCCCTGCTTAAATCTTTTTTGCCTTTAAAATATGGTGAAATTCTATTAATCTCCATCCAGCTCTCACATATCCCTATCATCCACCACCATCGTTTTTCATTTTTTTATTTACTCTCCCCATCTCCCACTTGGCTTCCATACACACTTAACTCGATTGTCTTCCTAAGTATCTATCATCATACCTCCATGTCTATCAAACCGTCTCAATATACACCTCGTTTTCCCTGTAGCTATATCTGCTATTCTTAGACTACTTAACACTTACATTTCCATTACTATATTGTGACCCGGTTTCACTTTAAGGGCATTAGTGATAGTTTTTTTAATTCTGTGAAATTTTAAATTTGTTTTTACATTATATTTCAATAACCACTTTAATGATAATAATTCTGCTAATTTACGGTCTGATACCTATTTAAGGAAAACGGGTTTGGCTATTTTTACGGACAAATATAGATCGGAGAGCGAGAAAAAATCGTAAGAATTACGTTTGACGGATTATAATTTTTCAAGTTCTTTACGTTAGAATTATTATTTAAATTTATATCTTCCTTATTATAAGTAAAAAGTAAAATATTTTAAATACATTTATGCAAATTTTTCAAAATTACAAGCAAATATGGTTATGATTTCCAGTGAAATAATTACATTCACCTATATTTCTAGCATACCCTAGTAAAAACTTAAAGAATTATAATCCATTTTCAAAATACAAATCTACCAAACAAAACTGAAAGCATTTTGTTTGGCTTGTAAGTCTAAATCGACTAAAATATACTCAGACACAAATTCCCTTGACATGTTCGTTGCTACAACAGTGTATCACATTTTTTTTCCTATGTCCAACACTTGGACTTGCACATTGCAGTTTTTAACCGATTTATAATCAGCTTTACATCCTGTCACTAACGTCTTATTCTACACTAAATTACATTTTTTCTTAATAATGGTTGACTTATTTCACCTTATCCTGAACTGATTGGATTCGGATAAAAATTGCCATGACCCATTCGGTTTTTCACCGCATAACTCCAGCGGTGGTTCTTCTACAGACGGCCATAGCCTGACGACGGCGGTCGCACATCCTCTCTCTGCGGGATAAACAATGTTCGATTATAGTTCGTTCATAATAAATTGATAAATAATACCCGCCGATTCGATAAACTTACGTAACGGGTCTCCTTCCACCGAGAACGAGATAAAGTTGAGCAGTATTTTATAACTTGGCCTGACTTGAATAAACCAATTGCACGTTCTGCTCGGCATTCCCTTTTCTGGTGCAGTATATTTGAGCGGGAAATTCGGACTCTGCACCTTTCCGGAATCCACATTGCTGATATTACTACCGCAATCTGCGAAAGAAAACAAAATAATATGATATCTAATCCCTTGGCAGATTATAGTTTCAAAACACGTCATAAACTCACCACCATATATTGGTTTGGCAACGTCAAAAAAATATCTCGCCTTAAAACCACTAGAGACACCTTCCCAATTTGTGTGCAATAGAATCTTTAGGCCGATCGCACCTCTATTGGACTCCAACGGGCCGGGGGCCGTCATACCACAATATCTACCGACAATCTTCTCGGTATTGTCTTTGTATATATTGTATATTTCAAGCCAGTCATCCGTGCAAACTAATGTCCTGTATTATGACGATAAAACGAAATATTAAATTATTTTCTTAATTTATATACCAATGACAAGTGACAAAATAACAGTGATGACGGTTTTACCCGAGCTGTACAAGCGAAGTGTTAGTTTTGTCGGTAGCCCGGATTTTAAATTGATCAAATATCACGGTGACTTGTTCGTTCTGCGTAGCCAAGAACAGAAACGTACAGTTTAGTCCGTTGGGATAGTTGGCCGGATGCCTGGGCGAGTTGAAATCACCGCGTTTCTTCGACTCGCTACGGTAAGTGAAATGACAAGTGCCGTTGGGCGCGGCCGTCCCGGGAATGAGATATTCTGATAAAAAAAATAAATTAATTTTTTAATCGGGAACTTAAAAATCGAGTCAATAGCGCACCGGTTTCGAATGTATATTTGGCTTTAAAACCTCGGCCTTGTAATTCACCACTACTGAAAACCATCGCGAGCCTAGCACCTTCACTCGTGACTACCTTTTCGTCGGCCTCTAAACCACACATTTCATAATCGAACTTGTCATAGAGGTCCATCGCTTCTTGACCTCTCAAGTATAACTTGAGGTATCCGTCCGTGCATCTATGATATAGGTCATTAAGAATACAATTATTTCGAATCACGTTTGGTCACGTATATATCACGTTATAAGCTTCTTACTCTTGTTCGGTTGCATGTGCCTTGGGTATATCAAACATCATGAATTCTAGTCGGACTCTTTCCAAGTCTTGCGCGCCTTCAAGACCGTATACAAAATATCGGCATACGATTTTCGGGATGTATGGAAACGGATAGTTCGGGCTGAATATGAAACCCGTCGAAGTCCTTTTGCTCAATACTTTTTGATCGCATTCGGTGCCCCGAACGTGTACACCGTCGTTTTTCACGATAAAATCTATACAATATTACGCAAAATAAATAATACTGTACAATATTGTATAATACGAAACGCAAAATCACCTAGTTTGACGAAACTCTCGCTAAATTCAAACATGCCTTTGAAACCGCGGTTTTGCGTGTTAGCGGTTCTGGGAAGCGTGTCGAAAGTCACGTATAAAAAATTTTCCGTAGAATAAACGACTAAATTTCGTTGTTGACCGCAGTACTGGCCGATCAAAGGAGCAGAAGAATTCACTCCGTCGTATATACTCACAATGTCAAAAGGACAACTGTGCAGGGAAGTAAAAAACGTGCGCGATTACAATATACCTATACTTGCAAATTGTGTTTGTTGGGTACGGAAAGAAAAAAAAAAACTACTCACTGTGGGCCACCGTAAAAAAGATCGAAATCCCGGAATTCCAACCGCACCCTTTGGCTGGCCTGCCCTTGGAACGAGTACATGCATTTCATTCCTTTGGGATATATACCAGGGTAGGTCGGAGTAAGTATGGCACCTTGTCTTTTGGCTTTAGCATTTATGACGAACGAACACGGACTGATCGGCAACGGCGTGCCCAATTGGAACGCAGCTAAACACACAGTGATTACAATGTAATAATGCTCGAAATTCGAGTTGTTATAATAAACTTACAGTCGTTTTTGAACGTGTAGTAACCGTCGAAAAGCATCGGCGTAGTAGAATTCTTGTCCGTATAAAAACTGAACGCCACTATTCTGTATAAAGACGTCCGATCTCTGGGCGGTATAAGGCCGCAATATCTTCCGCCAAACGGTGAGTTTATCAAATCCTCCGTGTCGACTTGTTGAACCTCCGAATACACGTCCACGTACTCGTGCACGCATCTAATATATTAGAAAAAAAAAAAATTTTAAATAATCATTCACCCGAAGAAAAGAAAATTGTGGATTATTTAACAACACTGCTGCACGTTCCGAAAAGCGAAATTCAATTTCGGGCCGTTTTTTGTGCATTTTTCTCTGAATAAAAACCGGTTGTGCAATATGGGTCTTCAAAAACTTCCTTGTTAGTAATATACGAGTGCTCGTACTCATAATAAGTACGTCAATATATGCAATGTATATAACAGTGTTTCTCGAGATCACTTACTCTGGAGGTGTACTTCGGAGATTGAACGAAGTGAACGATATAAAGACTTTTTGGTGCGAAGCGGCCACGAACGTGTACACGCACACCGTGGACTCGCCGTCGACATTGGTGAGCACCGGTGCCCGAAACGTGCCATTCTGCGGACCGTCTTTGCTCAAAAACGTTTGGTCACAACCTGAACGGCCGAGGAAAACAATAATTATAATGATAACAGTATGATTATACAGGGTCATTTTTTTGAGCACACTCACTCCGTTTTTGCGATTGTGTTGCGCATATGTTATTATTTTATATCTGATTATTGGACTTTTTAAGCGTAGTTAAAGACGATAGTTTTTAATATGTTTATATTTCATAACATTTATGGAGTATCCGGTGGCGACACCAACTTTGGTTTTTCAAACGAGAACTTATGTGTTTTAATGCAAACGAGATGATTTCTCTAAATAAGTGTTGTCGAATTGTAATCGAAACTTGAACGAACAGTTCTCCAGTTATTATTTTACTTTAAATAATAAGGATAATATTGTCAATTAAATACATTGTAAATGGGTACGAGTTGAGTAACATCATAATTAGGTAGGTATGCAATAAAAAATATTTGTTAACAGTTTTTACTTGGTCAAGTATACTCGGACCATTTTCGAACATTAAAAAATACTCATCGATTAATATCGCACTCAATAGTTTTCAAAACAAAAGCAAATACTATTGTATCCGTGTGGTATTTAAATCAGAATAGTTTAGAAACTTTTCGTTCAAATTTTCATTTCAATATACGTCAACAATTTTAGAAAAATCATCCGGTTCACAGTTTGCATGGAAGCATGTATAGATTCTCCTTTGAAAAACACAAATCGGTATCGCCACTGGGTAGTCCTTGAACGTTTTGAAAAATATAATTATTCGAAAATATCGCCTAACAAAATACACCTAGTAATTCGAAAATTCGGAATTTGAATACGTACGTAACCATAAAAACGGGACGAACATGCACACAAATCACCATGCGTGTAAATCGTAAACGAATCCACTCACCGGACGCGGAAGACGACGACGTTCTCTGAGTAGCGCTGGCGCGTATCGATAATAGTAACAACAGGGACACCAGAAATCTCCTACCGGCATGCCAATAGACTTCGGCCATGTTATGTCCTTATGGAAAAAGAAAACACCCCGATTTATAAAAAAAAAACCGTCGTCGGCGTGATCGCGTTGCGTATGATGAATAATTGATGGGGGTCAGGTGACGGTTAAAGATGTTAACTGACATTTTTTTTGAAACCGATACAATTTCATTAGATTCATTTTTTTTTTTTTTTTTACATAATATTACAGACGCCGCCATTAACGGATTTCAGAACAAAAATACTCATATATTTCCGGAAGCGTATAACTAATAAAGGTGTTGTCAGGCACGTATACAAGGGGGTGGGGGTGGGGGTTCATCCCCCCCTCCCCCAAAAATTAATAGTCGTGTAATTTATTTATATAAATTTAATTTTTTTTTTTTTTTGTAAACATTGATTATTGTTAATTTTTAAAATTTTTTTTTTAACAATTATATCCCTTCAAAATTTTTTTTTGTGTACGTGCCTGGGTGCTGTACCACATCATTAGTGGTTTTTGTTTGTAGACAAAGAGGTGTTACATATAATATACACAGTACCTACTTAAACTTAACAGTTTTAAAAATGTTAGTTAACACGCATTTATCCGCTGACCCCTTAAAATAGTGGATTGAGCATACTTACCATAGCGGCAAGGCAGTATGGTTTCGGTCGCAATGTCAAATTGTCATTTGGAAAATCGCGTGTATGTCGAACTAACCTATAATAATAAACCAGACGTCACGAAAGATCAGTGAGTACACGGGACCGTAACGATATCACCTTAGGATTTAAAGGGGAATTAACACGGCGGGCGATCCGCTAACGGATATGCCCAATAACAAAACAATATCGTTAGATAGCATTAGCGGTGAGCCGATATGACGTTTGTCCGATAACATTGTTATCGTTCTAAAACGTAGCTGATATTGAAATGATTCGCGCACACGATAATCATAATATCGTACCGGTGATAAACCCGACGTTTGAACGTCTTGTCGTATTCCGGACACATTACACGGGTATGTTTCACCGAACAATATTATCTGGTCGAATGGAGGGGGAGGGGGGGGGTGAATTCTGCCCACCCCTCAACCCCACCCCCCCCAGCGCCGATACCCAATGGTATTCCGACACCCTCGATTTCGGAGCCGTGCCCGATACTCACCGCTAGTAATTACAATAATATTTGAACGTGTTGTTTACTGTAATATTAAATAGTAACGATAAAAATATATAACTGGACGCGGCCTTCCGCCGCACACTTACGTGTCGTCGATCGATTGATTTTACGCGAACCGTTCCAACCAGGCGGAAAAAAAAAAAATTGCTACAGGCACGTCGGTCCCGGGTCCCGGACGGAATGTCCGCGGCGCGACTACCACGGCCGTCCCATCGTCGCGTAGCGCCCGGCGGCCCGTGCTAACACCTTTTAAACCGACGGCGGACGGGACGACGAACACCGGAATAATAAACGGCACGACGCCGCGGCAGTAGAATAATTGGGTCACTGTCGCGAAACAACGCGGCGGCTATCCCGTTGTGTACGTGAACGTGGCCGTATCGCGTCCGCCGACGACGGTCTGTCCGCGGTCGTTTGCCGGGGATAAAAAAAAAAAAAAATCGCGTTTACGCTATGCAAACACACGGGCGCTCGCGTACGGTATAATAATAATAATAATACGATGTACGAGTAGGTGGCGTGTACGCGCGTCGTCCGTTCTGCGATTCGCGGGGTAACGATCGCGAGGTGCGCGCACACAGGACCGCACCGCGGACGACGACGGTGACGGTAGCCCGGCGATCGCGGCGCGCGCACGAACTCAACCCGCACGCCCGCGGACAGACGGGTGGCCTCTGGAACGCCGACGGAGGGTCGTCGGGGGTGGCAGAGCGGCGTGCGTGATCCGTCGTACGTCCACACACACACACACACACACACACGCGCGCGCGCGCATACACTCGCGCACGCATGCACACACACGCACGCACGCACACACACACACACACACACACACTTGCGCAGCGTGCGAGCGAGCCGGCGCGCGCGCGTCCGTCGCATTCAGGGGAGGGGCCGTGCCAGCGACCGGGCGTGCGCGGCCTAGGCAGATCGAATTCGGCGGCGGCGGCCCACGCCCGAATCGGTCAACAAACCCACATCGAGCGGCGGAAACCTCTCTCGCGTAACGTCGTCGCGTCGTTTCTGCCACCTCGCCGCCCCCCCCCCGTCCGGTGAGCTTTCCGCCACCGCCACCGTAAAGACAACGCGCGCACGCCGCCGTCGCCGTACGTTTACCCGCACTGTCGCCCTGCAGTTTATCTGCCGGTGGAGCGATAACGATAGTGGTAATTCCCGGTAATTTTTGACTAATCGCAACGGTTATTAATTCACTATCTCCGATACGCGATTTTATAATAATTGCGTAGGCATTATTACTATGTGTTTGAGATTCGGGGTTTTCGGGGAATACCCCGAAAAAATCGCAAACAAATTCCTTTAGAAATATTGGCACGTTGAAAATGTATTTACTTACTAGTTACGAAGTGAAAACTTCCGCACGGTGGGCGTTTAAACATTTTCATAACCAAAATCTAAATTGAACACGATCGGTCGTTTAAAAACTATTAATTCAGATTCACGATCAGTTAAAATCGGAACTACAAACGTTTAGAATAAAAACAACGCCTACATACGTACCACAGTAGGCCAATGTTGCGGGTGGGAAGCCGAGAAGTTGGGAGGAATAACGCGGACATTTCAAGTCTCCGCAATTATTTTTGCAGCAGAATTACAACAATGTAAACAAACAGAAAGGAAAGTACACACTATAATAAAACGTGTGCAATAATAATAAAAACAATAATGATAATAATAACTAGCGTAAATCATAGTGCTCAGCGGCGGCACGACAAATTACACCGAGTGAGTCTGGTGAAATTATTTCATACAACCACACGTCCGTTTATTAATAAAAAATATTATAATGAAAAAAAACCAATTGAATTGGGCGTTTATTAGCAAACCCCGCTCCACGCATAAAACGTCACAATGTTTCCTTCGGTAGATTAAAATGATTTAAGATTTGTTTTCAAATCATTTTCCAATTTTTTTTTTGATAATGCTACATACGTTTAGGTGCTATGAAATCCGTACCCGAATATAATAATATCATTATGGTAAGAAATAGAATAATTATTATATTGTACACCGTATAAATAATACTTTGGATAACCCAAAGCGGGATAAATGAATTGGGATTATTGGAAACGATGTTAATTTAAAATCAAGCCGTGGAAATAATACAAGTAATTATTAATTCATTTAGTTTTTAGTATTTTTATTTTATTTTTTGTGTTCTTTACTTCGCTATTCAGCACATTTTATAATTTTTTAGACTCTGAGTGTAGCGAAGAATGTATTGGTTTTACAAAGATGTTTATTTATTTTTTTTTTATATCCTGTGTACAACAATTTGACCATAAATCTTGCTCAGATATATACGCGCGGTACCATTTCTGAAAGGAAATAATGTTCAGATAGTACTTTTGGAAGATCGTATTTTGATTTTCTATGGGGTTTGCATAATACCAGAATAAAACGTAAGAAAAACGAGCAATGTACGAAATTAATGCTTTTATTATTTTATCAGTTTTGTTATTTGTTATAATTCAGTTAAAAATATTCGTGGAGACTTGAAATTTGAAAAGAAAATTTATATTTGCTTTTTCTAGAAGTGGTAAAATTTTCAAAAATCTGAGCTATTTTTAAGCTTTTTAAAAATGTTTAATATTTTTGTTGAAATTCAATTATAAATATTCGTATCAAGTCGATGGGTTGGAAATTCGGACGGAAAATTTATATTTGCCTATTTTGGAGGTGGCAGAATTTTCAAAACATTTAAGCCATTTTTTAACTATTTATAAACATTTTAATTTTGCAAGTTTTGTACGTGATTTTTATTCAGTAGAGGTACTCTGTGGTAAAATAGTAGTGATTTTTCAATCGGTTTATCGATTTAGCGTAATGAGAAAAACTGGGATGAAATGTCGGAAAAACGGAAAATGTACGAAATGTAGGTATTAGTAAAAAAAATATTATGGCCTTTTTTTTTTTGTGTACAACTTTTCTACCAGCAATTTTGCTTCGATTTATAATGATAGGACTTTTTCTGAAAGTAAATCTGACCGGGAAGGTACTTTCGGGAGGTCATTTTTCGATTTTTCCAAGAGTTTTCTTAGTAAATGTGATAAACCGGCAAAAAACATGGGAAAATCGATACAATATTAAATAAATATTATTAAAGAAAATATTTAATGTCCATTTAATTATTTTACCATAATACGACACATACATTGTTGACAAAGCATCACTATCAACTGAGCTGCGCTCAGAATTATTTTTTTATTAGCAATGGTCTATCATTGCTCGATATACATTAAATTACCTATAACAGCGGCTGCACCCGTCTCCATTATCCTAGGACGTCTTTTTTTCCTCTGTTTTGCTTTATTTTAATTTTGATTGATTACCTCTCTACTCCGCTGTATTTACTGTTATATATAATTGTAGTAATTTTTAAATAAAGATATAATGTATAAAAAAAAAAAAAACCATATTGTATACTATAATATACCACTCATTGTAAATATTTTGAAAACTGATATTTTGAAATTGTGATCGAAAAATTTTAAAACACCATTATCATTTTTGTATTTCATTTACATTTCTATTTACCCTAATAGTTTAATACCCACGATTAATTGCTAATTAAAAACGATTTTGAACGGTGTTCGGTTATCCATGCTCTGAAATACCGTGATGATATTTACGATTTGAAAATAATAAATTTCATAAAGTTTCCCGCTTTCCCGATTTTCCTCATTTATTTGGAAAATCCAAAAATAACTTAGAAAAAGTGCTTCATTTGAAAACTGGAGCGACATCTCTGGTAGAAAGTTGTTCACGTAAAAAAAAAAAAAAAAAACTGTAAGACCAATACATTCCTCTCCCGCTCAGAATCTAAAACACACGCATAGTAAGGCCAATAGACCATTCGCTCCACTCTGGATCTAAAATTAAAATTACACTACTGTTGACGAAATTTATTATGGAACTTGCGAGTTTCGTTTGCAATTGTCCCAGTCGACCCTACAGTATTTCCGAGACGATTTTCTATCGCGTACACCGTGGGAGAAAATAACACGTTATCGAACAGTCGACCGATAATGTGACTTTTCCTAGACCGCCCTACAGTTATTTACACTTCAACCTTTATTCTACGTCTGTATACAAACTCACACATATATATACTGCGTAAATAACGCGCAGACGAGAGAGGAATAATATTATATAAAATGAATAACTTCACGCAGCACGGATAAGGCGATTTGATTGATCTTTTTTTATAAACTCCGAAATCCACGGGACAACTTCAATGCGCGCGAGTATACTCGCGCATATACAGGGTCATTCAAATTTCATGATAGAGCTAAATTTGCCACGCAATATTTATTTATTTTTTTTTTTTTTTAAAATATTACACATGTTAAACCTTTTGGGATCACATATTCTGAAATGTTACATTTTTCTTATTAATTTTAGAAGTGAAACGACTACCTACTTTTGACTTTCAAATGACAACCTAAAAATTTAAATTTCCATAAATGGAGTAATAGTTTAAATCCATTTTTGTGTTGAAATTATTGATTTCCGTCAACCCTTTTACTTTTAAGTTTGGGTAGGTCGAGAGTATTAAAGTACTATTCAAATGCCGTGCACTGCGCTGCCACTCAAATGATGTTCTACTACTCTCCCGCTATTTAAACTTAAAAGTAGAATGTCTCGTCAAGGGGATACGACGGAATCAAATTTTTTAAAACCAAAATACATTTAAACTTATATAACGTAGTTAATACTTGTAAACAAATAAAGTAAATAAATATAAAAAAAAAAGTTTATGTATAAAAAGACGTCCTTGGATAATTGGGATGGGTGCAGACACTGTTATAGATACTTTAATATATACCTGTAAGTAACAATAAACCATTGCTTACGAAAAAACGATTCTGAGCGGAGTTCAGTTAATAATGATTCTTTGTCAACAATATATATATGTCATTTTATAGTAAAATAATTAAATAGGCTTTATATATTTTCTTTAATAATATTTATTTAATGTTGTATCAATTTTCCCAGTTTTCCTACGTTTTTCCCGGGTTTCCCATGTTTTATTCCGGTTTTTGACATTTGCTGGGAAAACTTTTAGGAAAATCGAAAAATAACTTCTTTAGTGTAACTTCGGTAGTGAAATTTTCTTTTAGAAACATCGCTATCGTTAAAAGTTGGAGGTAAAAAATTGCTGGAAGAAAAGTCGTGCATATGAAAAAAAAATCGTTATATTTTAGTAATATATTTGGTAAATTTTCCCATAGAGTACCTCCCTACGCTGACTTCCTTTCATTAAAGGTGCTACTCGTAGAAATCCGAGCAAGTATTTTGGTAGAAAAGTTGTGCACAGATAAAAAAAAATATAAACATCTTTGTAAAACTATAAGCTTATTCGCTTTATTCAGAATCTAAAATAAAAAAAATTGTTTATTTATATATTTATTTACTTTATTTACATTATTATTTTCGTATTACACGAGTATTTAATTGCATACATTATTTTATTAAATTATGTATATTATTACACTGTTATTATTCGAAATAGTCTGTCATATTTGTTTGAACCCGTTTACTCTGCCAATATCTTTTTTTGTATTTTTCTATGAATTTGTCCCATGTCTTTGGGTAACTTTGGATCATCTTCATGAAACAATAAGTATTTTTCTAACAATTTAACCGCATCAAATGCTGGTTGTTGAATACTTGGTATTACAACTTCGTCAGGTTGTTCTTTTCCTTAATCTTCTTTTTTCTCTTCCTCGCCTTTTGTCACTGAATTTATGGAACCACGTCAACATGACCTGGTTCAAGTCTTCAAATTTCGGTTTTCTTATTTTTTTAGAAGGACTTCCTTCTGTTTCGGCCGTTAATATGCTTTCCTTATTCATCCAGATAGTAGTGCAGTGATGATCTGAATCCAAAACGTCTTCCGGTATCATATTTTTTTTTCACTTCTTCTGTCGCGCGAATTAAAGCAACTTTTTGATCAACATCCAGTATTCTCTTTAAATTGCCATAACGAATGTTGGCGCTCTACTGTGATTATCAGTTTAATGTTGGACATTTACGTGGATCATAAAATAATTCGACAATAATAATAACAATAATAATGACGATAATAATTCGACATCGATATAATTCTAATGTATTATTAAGATGATAAAAGTAGATAATGAAAGAATATCATCGTTATTGGAAAATTCGGCATTTATAACGATTATTTTTATAATTTATAACATGATAACCCGAAAATAAATTGTATTACGAAACGTAAAATATTGTTTTGTTACTTAGAGTGGATAATACACTATAGAGAATGAATTGATTAATAGTTTATAAATCAAATCGAATCTAATTTAATATTTACGTTAAATAGAGATTTTTGTTTTAACGAGTTTCGTTAGTCGTTACAGAGTTTTTACTGTGCAGTTACTTGTTTTAAGTTAAATAATAGAAACTCCTATGTATTTGCGTATTGGTTATGTATAATTTCGCATAAAAATATTTTTTACACGGTCTTTTATTGTGTTTAGTTTGTGCTATTGTGACACTGGGAGATAGTTTATTTTTATGTTTTAAGTATAGAAATTAGGCTTATGTTATCTTGAGACTTATTGGTCGTTTATTTAGGAAATAGGAATTAAATTTGGAGACATTAAATTAGGAAATAGGACAGGGGAAACTTATTGAAAAATATATGGGGATAACGCCAAAATGTGTGTAGGTGAATCAAATAGGCCTTACGGTGAAATGCTGAAATGTGTAAAATCGTTCAAAAACACATTTTTATTAGTAATTAATAATTACATAACACATTTTTCTTTATAGGTAGTAGGTACTTCAAATTATATTTTTATTGCTATTTATTTTTTTATAATAGTATTATTCATAAGTAAGCATTTGGAATACTTGATTAAAATGTATTATTATGAACATCTCTAAGTTCTTTTCTATACAATTGTCACTAATCTATCACTCAATATGTATTTTAATTATAAAAAACACACGTTCTACATCGACACTTGTTTTCTAAGGCATTGTTTGTATTATATTATTATATTGATGTATATATAATTATATTATTAGATATAAACGTCCAATACTTATATTGTTATTATTTAACAATATATTATTATAGCAATGATAAAGTAACATAAATTACAAAATAATATCTGATAATAATAGATGTTGTGGAATACAAAAGTCCTAATTAGAACATTTTTATACAAAAAAAACCGGAAACGTGCGATTTTGTGCAAAATAAATCTTTATTTAAATTAATCTACATCTCTTAATTTGGATTTGTAACTTGTTTCTATAGGATTTAGAACATAAAATGATACAATTGTACGGTTTTCACTAATAAAAAACCCCATCCAACTACCACCAACTAAATTTGATTTAAATAAAAGTATATGGGTTATACTCAACCGTCTACAAACTGGCCATGAAAGATGTGACTATATGATGCATAAATGGGGACTGTAGACCTCTGCAGTTTGTGATTGTGGACATCAGTATCAAACAATGTCCTCTACATGCGTTTGCACCTTAAAAGAAATCCACATGGCAAACCACGGAAAAGTAGAATGGACAAAGAACCTAGACTTCAATTTAATCTATACAATATCATAGTTACCTTGATTGTACTAATTCTGCTGACGTTATTTATACCTTAGTTACCCTTCTACATATTTATGTACATTCTAATTATTTTAATTTTACTAAATATATTCTATTGATATTATTTAAACCTTATTTTATATTCATAGCTTCGTTATTTATTTTACCTATTTACTACACATTTTATTTAATTTTTTTTATTTATATTTACATTTTATTATTATTCTAAATTGTTAGTGTGTTCTTAAGCGTGCCATACGCTAGATAAATAATAAATATGTATATCAAATATTTACATGTAGAGTATGGTATAGCCGGTGGGGGGGAGGAGAAGTAGATTCATGGTTTTCAAATGTTTCCGTTTGTATACGGGTATTATCGGGTAACTGCACCGCTATCTAGTAGCGGTATACAATATTAAATTCTACATATTCCGGCAATATTACGGCCAGAGACTTTTACGTTCCGGAAGTTTAACGGTTCGTGATATTTATTTCCTGTTAATTTATGGTCCGCTCCGTTTACCATCTCTTAATATTACGATTCATGTGCATTACTTTCCTTTAGTATAAAATTAATTTTAGATTACATTTCGGATATTTTACGATCATGAATTTCTCTTTGTGGTCCGGTAATATTTTTCCGAGATCTTATAAAAACAATCGTCCTTAAATAATTGAGAAAAATTTGGAAAATTTACGAAATTTATTATTATGTATATATTATAATCTATATATTTTTAATTATACATATAAGCAACACTATTATCTAAACCCCGCTTAGAATCGTTCGTTAACAATGGTTAATCGTTGCTTACATTTAATATATATTAAATTTTCCTCTGTATCCTACCATCCCTACTTCTCACCTACAACAATGGCCCACCCACGGTTGTTTTTCTTTGGCCTTTTTTTTTGGCCGGTTCTTTTTCTTTGTATACTCCCCTCTAAACTAAGAAGATAGTGTATACAAAATATCGGTTCATTAAAAATCATATTGTTTACCTATATAGTGTGCTAGTATTATATTATCTATATATCTAACAATATTTCATGAAAACATTATTATATACCTCAACATATCTTTAATAATAAATTATAACATTGTTCAAAATTAAAAAAAAAACTCAATATCATCACAATTACAATAGGTCCTGAATCCAAAGCAGTGATAAGTAGTATCACAGTAAGTGGTTGCCAGTTGTTTTGATTTATTGGTTGCACTATGACAATTGTTCACACCAAATTGGTTAGCATTTAATTAAATAAAACACAAGATGGGTCAATTTCGTTTTCAAGCCATGAGGCGTGCCATGGTACGCCTATGTTTGTCTGATTGTCTCTCATTCTGTAAATCTTTAATATTCGCCGATGGCCTAAAGATTTTTAGCATTAAAAATAACTGACTATTCTGTTCTTCAAGGGCCCTTAAGAAATTTGCATAATTTGTGTTACGTTTAAGATTTAGAATTAAATATAGAAATAAATGAAATACAATTTTTATTTTCAGATCGCGCTCCCACATAAAATTAAACTTATTCTATTCAATGCCACAGAAACCACGGTGTGGGTGGCTCATTACATCAGGGCCCCACATTTCAGTCACAGATTTTAATATTCGAGATAACGAGGAAAACCTGGTGCTTTAGGTTAGAAAAGATTGAAAGATTAAAATATAAGATTGTTATTGACAACCGATTTTATTTATTTTTTGTTATTATTAAGTTTTTATTATTTTAATATTTTTTAAACAATTATTGCTGTTATGGAAACGCACATTGTTGTAATATTTATCATAATATGACATATATATTGTTGACAAAGCAACATTACTCCGCTAGTAATGAACTCCGCTCAGAATCGTTTATACGTTAGCAATGGTTTATCGTTGCTTACAGCTGGTATACATTCAATTCCCGTCCGTATCCTACCTTCCCAAATTCTCACCTACAACAGTGGCCACGTGCGAAATATGTTCGTCCTTTTTACATTTAATTATATAAACTTTAAGGTCTTGTTAAAAATTTAAATTTGTACCCATACATAAACTAATAAAATCTAATTTGTATTTTTTTATTAGACACAAAGTGAGTAGGTACAAACAATATTTTATTAGTTTATATTTTTATTTTATTGAACACGATGTCATAAATATGATATAAATATATTTTAGTTTAAATTAAAAAATAAACATAGATTATTGTAATACTGCTGATAATATATAATATTACTTAAACATTTTTTTTTGTGCTTTTTTGATGCAAAAACACATTCTGTGATATTTATCACTATAATAATATAATGTATTATTATTATGTTAAATAATTATTTTAATAATTTTAGATTCTGAGTGTAGCGAAGAATGTATTGGTTTTACAAAGATGTTTATTTTTATTTTATACTGTGTATACAAATTGTATACAATGTAAACTTTTTTCTGAAGGGAAATTTTCTTGGGGAGGTAATTTAAGGAGCTCATTTTTTGATTTTCCCAAGAGTTATCCCAGCAAATGTGAAAAATCGGAAAAACTTAGGAAAAATGGGAAAATTGGTACAATATAAACAAATATTAATAAAGAAAATATATAATGCCTATTTAAATATTTTACCATAATACGGCATATATATTGTTGAAAAAGAATAACTATCAACTGAACTCCACTCAGAATCGTTTTTTTTGTAAGCAATGGTTTATCGTTGCTTAGAGATACAGCGTTTCCATATTCGACGGATTTTTCTTTAAATATTAAATATTTTTCAATTTTTTTTTTCGATCGGTGTTTCTTTGAGGGGGACATCAATTTGGAAAAAATTATATTTTTATATTCCTTTCCTAAATACAAAAAAAAAATTAATTTTTTATTTATTCACTTTATAAAATGTTCAAAACAGCTATTTTGTAAAAGATATTATTCTAAAAATGTTAATGTACACACATTCATATCCGATGAATAGTTTCTTAGTAATATCCGTTTTAATTTCTGTAAAAAGATTGTGAAAACAATTAATATTCATAGTAAATAAAAATATGAATAAAAAAGTTTATATATTAAAAAAAATATATGAATAAATGCGTCGCCCGGAGTATATGATAAGTGTATTATACGACCGGTTTCAAATTAAAAATTCGATCAATTTGATGTTGTTGTAGACCTTGTATAATCATAGAACATGATAAGATAAAACTGAAAGGATAATTATTTACGATGTCCTATATAATATAGGCCACCGGCAGCCATAGACTTCAAATACTATCTACGAAGATATAACTGTAAAAATCAACGAAATTACGGGTTTCCATTATTTTTTTTAATGGCAGAAAATAATGACGCGCGAGATTATTGATGTGCGATAAAG